TGTGTGTGTGTGTGTGTGTGTGTGTGTGTGTGTGTGTGTGTGTGTGTGTGTGTGTGTGTGTGTGTGTGTGTGTGTATCATATCATCGCATGTCGTGAGTGTGTCAGCTTCATGACCTACCTCGTTACGCAGCACCTCAAACTGCTCTGAGCTGTCCTTGAGTTTGCCTCGGAGGATTGAGTTCTCTCCCTCTTTTGTATAAACATCGTTCTGCATATTTTGCACCTCCTGTTTTTGGCTGTGTAGGAATGTTCAATGGAACGTATTACGGTACAAGAATACCCTAAACCGTACACTCAAAATCAGTACACCCTTCCATGCGTAGTACAACTCACCCCAACACGTATACACCCACACCAATCAAGCAGGGCACCCTCTGTCGTTGACATGGTAACATAGAAGTTCTATCTACAGCACATAACTGGCTATCTAACAATCAGGTCGGCATACATACAGGGAGAGGGCTTCCTTGGCAGAGGCCAACATCTGTTTGAGCTCAAGCACTTCCGCTGCGGTGGAACTGTTCGGCTTCAGACCGCCTCCTGTCCCAGAACAGTACGTATCGAAGGCGTTAAAAAAATTCAACGGACACGGTAATCAAGACATATGGGAGTCATAGCTTACGCCTATGTATATCGAACCTCTCCAGGCACGAATGGCGGCATTATTTAACACAGAGTTGGGTTGAAGTATGATACTATGGCTAAATCCAAGCGCGTGCAGGCGTCCGGGTGTGGTGTTGCATTCATTTGATCCATTTGATCGTTTGTAGCGAACACAAAGGCATCTTGTACGACAAAAGGCTTATGTGCTCTATGCCGTAATGGTGCTGAAGTCAAAAGGAAACATGCACGCATGCATGTTACATAGGTTTTGGTGAGCAACGTGATTATATTCCATTAAAAACAATACCGATGATAAAAAAGGGATTTTATATTGAAGCGTACAGCTAACAATATCAAGTGTATTTCGGTAAGTATCAAAACAGAAAACAGTACACTCCCTGTCTAAACTATTGTGTGCTTGGTTGCGTTCTAACATGCATTCGTTATTTGATGCAGATACACTACTCTATCAATACACGAACACATTTGATTATATATACATAATCCAAAGGTATGTATATACATATATATATATAACATCCTAACCCTAAACCTTAAATCCTAAAAACCCGGACAAATACTTGCTTAGCACACTAGCAGATCGCCACACGTGCATATTGTGAATGCATAGACCTGCATGATAGAAGTCAAATAGATTAAAATACCTAGTAATATGACTATTCACTACCAAACAGGCATGTTATAATTACAAGCAGGTATCGTTAGATTGCATGTCTGTGACTATACGTGTGGAGTTGTGCGTGCGTGCGTGTTTAGATCTAGTTCATATGCACACATGTGAAGGTATTGCGGTTCGAGGTACCTTGCAGAGTGGTGAATGAACCCCCACCGCTGACTTGGCTCCCTAGCACACCCGAGTCTCGCGGCAAGGGCTGAGCGAACGTTCCTGTGAAACTGGTGGATGTATATGAACCGGAAATTCGGGTAGATGATGTACATGATGAGCTATGCAGATCGGATTGAATAGCATTGATGGTCGATGGATTAAATTCCCAGACAATCAAAGAGTCTAAACAGATGATAAGTTCACGGTAGCCAAGTGGTATTCGGGGCGCCAGTTCTTCAATATATGTAGTTT